CTACTCCTACTACTACTACTCCTCCTACTACTAGTACTACGACGACGACGACTACTACTACAATTATTGCTACTAGTACTATTACTGCTACGACCACCAATACTACGACTACGACTACTACTACAACCTCTAGTACTACGGGTGGTGGGTGTGGTGGTTGATCAGCCCTACCGAGGGGGAACCAGGCACGCCAGGACGGTTCCTCCCACACCATTGGCCGGGTGTGGGGCGGTGGTGCACATTTCCTCCCAGCACTCCCCTTGAGGCCAACGTGCCAGTGCCGGCACATGACAGCGGGGCCAAGCGCTAATGCGCCCGCTGGGGAGCGAGAGCTGGGAGGCGCCTGCGGGAATCTGCAGGTGATGTGGCTGCCAAGAACGGGAGGCCGCTTGCATTCATGGTGCCATATGGGGTGGGGGTAGCTGTACTGGTACATGGCATTGGTCTCGTAATAGTATTGTAGCAGTAGCAGTAGTCGTAGTAGTAGCCTAGTATGATAGTCGCAGTAGTACCAGATTTTTTATCCGTAGTAGGTAGTAGTCCTAGTAGTACTAGTAGTAGTAGTAGTAGTAGTAGAAGTAGTAGTAGTAGTAATAGAAGTAGTAGTAGTAGTAGTAGTAGTAGTAGTAGTAGTAGTAGTAGTAGTAGTAGTAGTAGTAGTGGTGGTAGTAGTAGTAGTAGTCGTAGTCGTAGTCGTAGTCGTAGTCGTAGTCGTAGTAGTAGTAGTAGTAGTAGTAGTAGTAGTAGTAGTAGTAGTAGTAGTAGTAGTAGTAGTAGTAGTAGTAGTAGTAGTACCGTGCTGCACTCAAGCCTCGTTCCAATGCAACAGCTCAGTAGTAGTAGTAGTAGTAGTAGTAGTAGTAGTAGTAGTAGTAGTAGTAGTAGTAGTAGTAGTAGTAGTAGTAGTAGTAGTAATAGTAGTAGTAGTAGTAGTAAGTAGTATTTGTAATACCAACAATACTCGTAGTAGTAGTAATAGTAGTAGTAGTTGTTGTTGTAGTTCTGTTATTGCTGGTCGTACTAGTAGTAATTATTGGTAGTACTAGTAGTTGTGGTTGTGGTAGTAGTAGTAGTAGTAGTAGTAGTAGTAGTAGTAGTAGTAGAACAGTCGTAGTACAGTCGTAGTGTAGTAGCAGTAGTAGTAGTAGTAGTAGGAGTAGGAGTAGGAGTAGTAGTTGCAGTAGTAGTAGTAGTAGTAGTAGTAGTAGTAGTAGTAGTAGTAGTAGTAGTAGTAGTAGTAGTAGTCGTACTGGCAGTAGTCAGTCGTGGCCGTAGCCGTAGCAGTAGTAATCGGCTCATAACCTTGTAATGTGTCTCTGAATAGGAATGGTTCAATAGCAATGTAACCACAATTCTAAGCTGTGTGCTGTGGAAGGTACGAGTCGACTGCCGAACCTCACCGGCTCTTTGTGGCCTTGTTGCCTGCAGTCGCACTCCTCCTTGCTTACAAAGCTTCGGACAGTCGACAGACAGCCAAGATGAGGCAGAAATGTGCGGAGCTCTTGGAGGCCATCGGTCCTCGGATGGCCATAGTCGCCGGGCTCACTGCCGACTGGGGTTTCGAGACTCGCCGTTTAGTCGGCACCTTCGACAAGCAGGTTCACGACCCGGCGAAAACCTGGAGCGAGATTGAGGAGTTTCGCGACAGGAGTCGTATCCGGGCTGCAAGTTAGTCGGTTCCTGTTTTTTAATTGTTAGAGGGTTCGGGATTTACGGTTTCAAAACCAGGACTGCTTTTCGGGGAGGCGCACATCTTGGGCGAGGCCGAGAGTGGTTCCAGGACGATGGTGCAAGTCGCGACAGACAACGTGATGAAGATGCCTGCCCTTCGATATGGAGTGGCTCCGGGGATGCGCGAGAAGGTCTTCTGGCATGCGAAGGCGAAGGAAGAGGCGGTTAGCGTCATGGAGGAGATGTCGCTGTGCTGGAAGTTGGCCGACAAGCGCTTAAGGGCCGAGTTCGACCCGCAGTCGTTGCCCGCAGCTCAGTGAGTCGTCATCGCTCTGTTCCATAATTTGGTCTACGGTTGTAGGTTACCTGGATCCTTTGAAGAGCGTGACGTTGTGCCTTGAAGTCGAAATGTCGAGTCGGTCCTTAAACAGTCGTCGACATTCTCGTCATAAGTTTCATCCAGAAAAGTACTGGCCGATGCCTTTAATAAAGACGATGCCTCAACCTCTTAGAGCTGATCCCGAAACAAAATTTGGTTGGGACATACATGACCAAGGCTTCTGGCCTTTAGATGCTTCGACCTGCCAACGTGGCTGAAGACTCTCCCGCAGACCGAGTCGGCCGAGCACTTGACGAACTCGCTGCGAATGTGTACCCGCCGCGTGTGCAACGCCTACGAAAAGTCGCAGTCGACCGGCATGGAACTTAGGCAGCAAGATACTATTTAAAACAACTGTGTCAGTCCAATAATAATATCTGGTCCAGCCCAACCTGGCTGAGGACAGTCGTCTCGTTGCTGAGCGCTTGGAGCATGCTGCCCTTTTCCTTGCCAAGAAGCACAGAGCCGAGATCCAGTCGGTTAAAGTCGGCATGTTCAACAACCTGGATGCATGGAGTTGTTTGCCTCAGTATCGAGAAGCAGTCGGCGGGGGCCAGCTTTTCGACCATGCCCTTGCAGTCGCCACATGGTATTTGGCCGTGCTCGACGGAACGGGGCCAGTCGAGCGAGACTTCTCTAAGATCAGAGAAATAGTCGAGGCGCATTCAGGTCCACTGGAAAATCCAGAGAACTTGGCGCTGCTTTGCTTCCACCTCCCGGAGCACGAGTCGGCAGTCGTCCAGCAGAGCCTACACGATGCTTGGCGGCAATAATGTGTCCGGAATCCAGACCCCACATCTGATTCTTTGTTTTTGATCGAGGACGGCGATATCTCCTGTGGCCTGACGGCTCTCAGTCGCCAGTGGCAAGAAGCTTGGGTTGAGACTCACGGCAGGCGGTTTTGCCTGTACAAGAGTCGCAAAGACGCCGGAGTCGAAAGGGTCAAGAAGTCGAACACGAAGGTGGCCTTGAAACGCAGTCGAGACAGAGCAGCTCAAGAGCTGCTAGAACGTGCCAAGGAGCGTGGAGGGCAAGCGCCCTCCATATTCGGAGGCTCCGTAGGCGACCTCCGTGCTGCGATGCAGAACATGGACGACGAGTCGGCATGGAGCAAGGCGCTTCGCGATTTCGACAAAAACACAAAAAGAAAAGTCGCCCAAAGCCAGAAGCAGAAGCACTTGCGTTCAGTCGGCAAGCAGGCCTACGACAAGCCCGCTGAACGACCGGGACGGTCGATCGCACCAGCGCCGACGACACAGTCGCAAGTCGAGCAGGCCAGAGAGTTCAGGCACACCAAGTTCAGTCGCATTCTCAACGCCTGCGACGAGGCCCTGCCAGTGCAGAGAGTCGCCAGCAGCAGCTGCTTCATCCAGAGTTGTGCATCCCTCACGGCAATGGCTTTGGTGAAGATGCTTGCACTGGGCACCCCAACGTGCATCATAGTCGACAAGCACCTGGAGTTTACCCGAAAGTCGCTCGGACTCTTGGAGCTCCCAGTCGTCGCTTTGGGTGCAACAGTGGTGCAGAAGACAGACATGACTCGTGGGTTGGGTGCCAAGACGTATCTGCCGAGCAGTCGCACCGGCCAAGTTAGGGTCATTTCTTTGACCAGTCGTTTCGACGAGAAACACAAAGCCGTCGTGCAGCAGCTGAAGCACATCGCTCGTCTGCCCGAGTCGAAGTGGACAATCCTCGAGGGCGCTTCGGCGCCTTCTCGCCGGCCTTTCAGTTGGAGCTCGAAGTCGGTGACTCTCAACGACAGCAGCGACCTCGTTCGCTTTGTGGCTGCTGCAGTCGTCATCGCTCAGAGTACAGAGGGCGTATCTTGTAGGTTTTTGGGGAACGAGTGAGCTCCAACAGTCGAGCTCATGATTGCGGTTGTTGGGGTCAGAGGCAACTGCAGTAGTCGGCCCCACTGGCTGGTATGTGCAGCAAGTCCAAGAAATAGTCAACAATAGTCGTAGTAAACTTAGACGACCGTTTCTTAGTTTGCAGTCGTGAACCAGCCCGTGGGTACTGTCCATCCTAAAGTCGACTGTTGCAAAGCAACACTCAGAAGCCAGTCGTTACGTTCATACAGTCGTAAAACACTGCCACTGCTGTTCCGAAGCTTGCCATTGCACTGAGTTGATTGCCTGCAGTTGTGGATCGAGGTCGGGTCGTCTTGACTTCGAAGGCCACCCGCTGCAGGCAGGGACCCTATTGTTGGAACCATTGTCCATTGCTCGTTTGTTGAACTGTCAGGCTGCGAATGGTTCCTACAGGGAGTCGCACGTCGTGTCCCACGAAGAGGCCAGATTAAAGTTGAGTGCCTTGAGTCGCAAAACACCATCTATGAGAATCTATGATCCCGACCGGCAGGCTGGTCCTCTGCCACCCTGACAACCGGCCGCTGCAGTCGCAGTCTTTTTTGGCTGTGGCACTTTGAAGTGTTAATGCACCAAGCAGAAATATTGCATAGCTCGTCGAACATTTATCACATTCCACTGCCAATCAGTCAGTTGTAGTCGCCAGTCGTAGTCGCAAGTCGCCACTCAAAGTCGCAAGCAGATCCGAAAAGGTGCGATTGACATGATTGATCCTTGTCGCATGCCAACGGCCCCATCCATAAATAATTTTCGCCCTTGGCCAAAGGGCTACCAAGACTATATTATACCCCGTAGTACTGCTGATGGACAAAATCCTGCATTACCCCAAGGACCCTAAACTATGGGAATTATGATCTATTCCTTTTTATGGGTAATGCAGGATTTTGTCCATCGACCGTAAGACCGTGTCGTCACCTGAATGTCACATACAGTAGAAGCCAGAAAGTTGGAACATCATTATCCTCATGCCCTTAAGGTAAAGTATAAGGGATCCTAGCACTAATCCTCCTAAAGCCATGTTCCAACTTTCTGGCTTCTACTGTAACTCAGCTCCTTTCATGCCTGGCAGGGGGTGTGCGGGCATGGCTCCAGCACAGCAGCGTGTGGTCGCTCAGGCGGCCCTGCGTCTTCTCCTAGGATGCCCAGTAGTACCCTTATTCCCTTTTTCTAGTCCTAGGTTCCTTATAAAGTTACCCAATACCAAAAAGAGAGGCCTTTTTATTCTTAGGTTACTGGGTATCCTAGATACTGTTGATGGACAAAAATCCTGCATTACCCTTTATAAGGAATATACCATAGTTCCCATAGTTTCGAGTCCTTCGGGTCATGCAGGATTTTGTCCATCAGCCGTATTGCAGTGCCGATGATTTGTATTTCGTTGCGGATGGTGTAGGGAAGATGGTGCTAACTGTAACCTGGCCCAGAGCCAGCACTTCGAGTTTTAGGGTTTAGGGTTTAGGCTGGGTTCACCGGCAAGCATGAAACAAACCTGAGTTCATACTCCAAGGAGGCGTCAAGAGCCCGATGATGAAGCTCCTCACCGCCTTTATCCTAAATCCGGATGACTAACTCCTAGAAGCCCAAACCCCTGCTTAATCCTGAGGCATAGAGCCCATGCCAAGTTCTTGGATCGCGGTACGTCAGCCATGGGGTTTCCTCCCCCAGAAACCTTTTAAAGTAAACCCAAGCCGGAGGAGAGATCTCCCCCTAAACCCTAAAACTCCACCCTAAACCCCAAACCTTAAAGCACAACCCCTAAACTCTAAACTCTAAACCCTAGCCTAAACCCTAAACCCTAAACCCTAAACCCTAAACCCTAAACCCTACCCTGAACACTTACTAAAACATACAGCTGCCTGGGAACCCACCAGGCTCCTCCGGGTGGAGCACCCGATGCCTCATTGCTGGAAGCCTGGGTGCAGTCCCCGGTGAGTGCAGTGGGTGCAGGGGTGTGATTGCGCTTTGGGGTACCATACCTTGATAGGAGCGTTGATAAGAAGAATAGGGTTTCGGGGCTCCTTATACTCTAATTAATATAGGCCCCTATATTCAGGGAGTACCATACTTTTAAATATTTTCCGGACTTGTTATTTAAAGGGAACCATTATGGAATAAATTAACGTCCATACTTTTTTCCCTCGTTACTTCAAAGCCCAGGAAATCTGAACCTCAAACCCTATAGTCTGAATGTTCAGGCTCCTTCTAGAACGCAAGGTTCTCTTTAGTTTCTTAAAATGACGCGCTTGTGCTCTTCTATTTCGGTGTCTTTGGAAGAGCAGAGTTGTTCAGGTGCTTGTCTCTGTTTGCAGCGATGCTTCAACCCTTGGCCAGAAAGCCCTAGACTCGAAGACTCGGCGTGCTTTAACCGCATGTGCGTCGCAGCATCCTAAAACCTAAAACCCTAAACCCGTCAACTTCTGCGTGAGGGCTACTTCATGTGCTTTCTCCATGTACTTAAAGGTTCATGGGACTTAGTAAACATGGTTATAAAATCAGGTAACTAGACTTCTATTTGGATATAACCCCAGTTAGGGTACTTATAACTGTACTTACTAAGTCCCATGAACCCCCAAGTAGGGGTCTCTTGAAACTCCCAGCTCTCTGCCTCATTCAAGGTGGTCTCCTGGGCGGACAAGATGTGCTTAGCACTGGCAGGGGTGCCGGACGAGGCCTCCTTGGCGGGGCTCCACATGACTTCGGGTTTATACTAGGAACGGGTAAATGGGCGAATTTAAGTAGGGCTCCTCAGAAATACTGGTCGCTATGCATATGTCGATACATGTACACATATTTTGAATACGTAGGTATGTTTAGGCATATTTCTATCAGTTTTTATCACTTCCATGTATACTTATTTGTCTATGGATTTGGGCGCTGTTCTTGAGGCACAGTACGGCAAATCCCTACTTCACATGTCAGTGTCTGTACATGTAGGGGCCTTATTAGTGGGAGTAGGGTTTCGGGGGTTCCTTTTTAGAGTTATAGAAAAATATACCCCCAAACCCTATTCTAATTATTAAAGCTCCTACAGCACGTCGGCCGGCCGACAGGAAATGCATTTGTTGTTTGTGAAACTCTAAGGCCGAAACCCTAGACCGGTACTTAAACTACTATTTGCTTAAGGAACCCCCAAAAAATAAAAATAATAATCCCTATATTACCCCCATAAGGAATATTTTTTTTTATTTTTTGGAGAGTTCTTAAGCAAATAGTAGTAAAGGATCATAGGACTTAGTAAGTAGGGTTATAAGTAAAGTAACTACAGCTATAATTACTTCAATTAAGGTACTTATAACCTTGCTTACTAAGGCCCATGATCCTCCAAGTAGACCCGTATTCAATGTTGCGAAAAGACATGTGTTTTTGTCTACGTAGCCCCTGATCCAAGAGAGGCTTGCCATTTCATCTGCATAATGCCCTAGTAGTAGAGTAGGCAACCTGTTAAACCCTTTTCTGGGGTAGTATAGTCCCCATATATACAAAAAGGTTAACCTTTAGTTCCGCCTGATACCCGACAAGTAGGATGCCGCATGTGCGATTGCATCAGGCATGGGCGTCACAGACCAGCGTGCAGCACCCAGAGTCGTCTCTGGTAAAACTTGAAAGACTGGGCTTTGGAGCACCATACTTTAATACTTTTTGGGGGGACCTGTTGCTTAAAGGGAGCCATTATGGAATAAAAGTCTATACTTTTTTCGCCCTGGTTACTTCAGATCCCAGAAGATGGACGTTCACCAAGTCGCCAGGCACCCCTACCTACCTACCTACCTACATACGCAAATACATACAGACACACATAGATTGAGCCAGCGAGAACGAATACTCACATATGCAGACACGAGCAGACGCAAAAGCACAAGCAAGCACACACGGGCAAATCCTTTTCAAAATCAGCAAGATCATAGTGCAATCCTGTCAACCCCCCTAATCCGAAAGCCGACTAAGCCTCAGCTCAATGGAAATACCTGGAAGCTTGGCCAATTCCAGGTTTGGGTTTTCATTTAAATTTCCCACTAGAAAGGAGCCATGACAAGCATCAAGCTTGCTTTCCTGCCTGGAAAAATCCTGCAAAGTATTCGTACTCCTTAGGAACCCTGAATAGAAACGAAGTAAATGCACCCCGAAACACAATTTTGCTTTGTTATGACCCTTTACTAAATCCTGAAACCACCTGGTCAAGAGCCGATACAGATCCCTCAAAGCAAGCCTTCAAGGAACCCTGTTCAAAGCAATACGGCCCTTCACATTCATGAATGGGCCATTCCGAGGCGCCACCCACGGCGCGCAGCGGTCCTGCCGCTCAGGCAGGAAGGAGAAACGTGGCTGTCTCAGGGCGTAGCGTGATTCGGAAAACTTAGGGACCCGTTTGGAGGGTACGTAAGCCAGCGTTTATGTAGAGTCCATATCCTTCACTGTCAAAAACTCCCATTGTGAATTGAGGGATGTTGGTATGGCGGGGGGGGGCGGACGACCTGACATGGTTTGACAAGCACTTTATGCATAGGTTTCGTTCGCTACAGTCAAGGTTAGGGATAATGATGCATTTCTACAACATGGGCATAGGGTTCCGTGCCTTGCTGCAGGCGGGGCATAGGGTGGCCTCTATAAGCGTCCTAATAATAGTCCATGTCCTTCTTGGCTTATCAGTACGGTTCACATCAGTTCATACACGTGAATCTCTGGCTTTGGGTTTGTGCTGCCACTTTAGCACGACACTCCTACGATCCCAACAAGGTAGGATAAAGATAGATACGATTCAGGATCCGTCATGTGAGGACTCTTTTTCCGGAGTCCCGGCCTATCGTCATCCAACCCTGAACCCAAAGCCATACGTGTGTCAGGGCTACAGCGCATATCCGCGGACGATGCCGGGAGCGAATCAGAGGCAGCCAAAGATGCAGTTTGATGAGTTTTCCAGGCTTTAGAGTGTGGCGCTTAGGGATTAGGGGTTGCACTTTAGGGGCTAAGCAACTGTGTTGCAAAGAATGTAACGACAATTATTCTACTTACTTCTAAGCCCAAGTAAGGTACTGTTTGCCTTGCTTGCAACGTCCTGTGATCCTTTAAGTGCCGTGCCTTTCTGCCATAAACCCTTTCAGGGACACTACATCAACCCTTAAAGGAGCAAAGGAACCCTAAAAGACCTTCAATGAACCGTTAAAGGAATCCCGAAAGAAACCCGTAAAGGAAGCCTTGAAGAAACGCTTAAATGAACCCTCAAAGGAACCCTTAGAAGAACCTTAAAAGAAACCTTCAATGGAACCCCAAAGAAACCCTGATAGGAAGCCTTTCCCGAATCCTATAAGTAACCCCTACAGGGAACCCTAAAGGAACCCATAAAGGAACCCATAAAGGAACCCTAAAAGAAACCCTTCAAGGAACCTGAAACGAATCCTATAAGCAGCCCCTAAAGGGAACCCTACAAGGATCCAAAAAACCCTACAAGGATCCCGTAAGGGAACCCTAAAAGAGGCCTTTAAAGGAACCCTTAAACGAATCCTATCAGTAACTGAAGGGAAACTTGAAAGGAACCCATAAAGGAACCCTAAAGGAATCCCTATATAGTGCAGAGCGGCTCCAGGATGAGCCGGACGTGTACGGATGGCCTCTCTGCCGTTTCGGCCCTGAGCAAAGTGGAAAGGACAGGGAGAAGATCAAAAAAGCAGTGGCTTCAAATTGGCTTCAAAGGGGGGCTTTGAAGGGAGCTTAAAGGGGGCTTGAAGGGGGCCTTAAGGGGAGCTTTAGAATGTGAGTATACAAGGGCTCCTATCAGGGCTCTAGATGGGAGCTGTAGGAATTTGAGTAGGGTTGCTTTCAGGGTCCTTTGAGCTACTACTGCTGCTCATGCTGCTACTACCACGACTACCACCCCCACCACCACCAGCACCACCAGCACCACTACCACCACCAGGACTACTACGACGACTTCCGCGAGTATTTCCTTTTGTTCCTGATGCGTCGTCATTCCGACGAGGGTTTTCCGAAGGGAGTGACATTCGGTTTAGGGTTTAGTGAGCCAAACCCAGGGACCGACAACCTTGCTGCAGTTGCGATTTGCCAGTGTAGGGTTTAGGCGCTTAGGGTTCAGGGGTTCAGGGACTTAGGGTTTTGGGTTTAGGGTTTAGGGTTTCCTCGTTGCTATTTGCCAGTGTAGGGGCCTAGGGTCAGGGGCTAGAGTGTGGCCTTGCAATGATATATACACGTGCAACCGGGTCGTGCAGGAACATCGCAACGAGGTAATGGCCTTCATGCAAGAGTTGATCTGCCAGCTTGTATTCTTATTGGCTGTAAACTCAACTTTTCAACTGTTGGGGTTCTCGTACTGTAAGGTAGTCGGTTCTAAGAGACTCAGTTTTTATTCCCTTGGGTTTTGGGCCAGTGAGTATTTGGCTGTACAGACGGTAGACTTGCACCCGCCATGCTGGCTTCGATTAGCAAAGCCTCTCAACCCTAAACCCTTATCCCTTGGAGCTTGTTCTGTCCGCAGGGCCCTGCAGCAGCACCTCAATCCGATGTCTCCGCGAAGCTTTGAGGACCAACGTGGGGACAGGCTGTAGTATCGGGGCCTGGCCTAAATAAATAGGGATCCTTTAAAGGGGTCTATAAGGGTTGCTATAAGGGTATTATACTATAGGGGCCTTAATAACTACCTTTACTATTTTGAGGGCTCCTTATCATAATTCTAGTAGAATGGACCCCAAAACCCTACTCCAATTATTAAGGCCCCTACATCAAGTAGTTTCGGTGCCGGTCTGTGGCGATCTGCTGCTGCTGTGTTTGGAAATACATAAGATCGTGGATTTAGTGCGTGCGTTGACTGCACGACCGTAATCCTATGTCATGTACAGTGCTCAGCTTGTATCATGTCGCGTTCCTTTGTCGCGTTCCTTCACAAGCTGCCCAAGTCGGGGTCAGAACGAAGCTGCCCCTATGTTCCCTGTACGAAAACTACATACGAAGCACCGAAGCCCTAACTTTGAAGTCCCTTCTAATAGATGTCCTTGCTTGGGCGTCTTGGCATGCGCGTCCTTTTTTCTCTTGAGTCAGCTGAATCTAGCTACTCCATTAGCGCCAACCACTGCAATGCGAACATAGCAAAATCAATCCAGCCTGCCCTACCAATCTGAGTACGTGGTGCTGTATTGGCATGCTTGTGTATGTACGCCTGAAGCATTTGTGCACGTAGTATGCATGTATGCACGTATGTATGTATGCACGTATGTGTGCCTACATGTTGATATGGTTTGGTATGGCATGGCATAGGCATAGTACCGCATGGTATGGAGGCGAAGATGGATGGATGAATGGAAGGATGGATGGCTGTATGACTGAGGGTATTCGTTCCTGTGACTGTACCTATGTGCACGCGAGCATACATGTACATTTACACAAAACTCGTAGGTATGTGTCTGTGTGTGTGAGAGCCTGTATGCATGATAGACATTCCACACGTAGACTCTCCCTGGTCCTCTGAAGCCATGACACATACATGAGGCAGAAGAAGTCATTAACAACGTAGTGTGCCTGCATATATGTGCGCATGTGTATACATATAGGGATGTGACGTGCGTCTAGATCTAGATGCATGTGTGTGTGCGCAGATGTGTAAGTGCGACTGTACATCTGTGCATATACATGATGCACAGATCTACACCGGTGACAACGCAAGGGTATCTACACAGCCATGCATCATGCATAGAGTCATATGTAGGCGTGTGGTGTGTCTATGTACACTCCGAGGGAGGGAGGGCCCCTGAATCCTTAACTCAAAACACCTACACCATGAACCCTCAATCCCTTAGAATTTCGTCCTTCGATGTTGTTCCATGCCAGAGGATCTCGTGTCGCCAAGGCAGGGCCTTTCAGCTTAGCAGCATCCGTTACAGTATTGTTAGGATTAGAACTATTGCTATTCTGATCGTTGTTTGGACTCTTATTGCTCTTGCAATTACTATTAGAATGATTATCGGACTTGATAGTCTAGACCTTAAACCCTAAACCTTTAACCCTAAAACCTAAACCCTAAACCGGTTACAGAAATGATTCCTCGTATTGCCTCTGGGTCTCTGAATCCCCACTAGCCTCCGCCTGGTATAGAGGCCTGGGTACTTTCCAGAACCATCCCTAGGCCCCAATTCAGCGATACTGTAGAAGGGGCCCCCACCCTGTAAATAGTGACTATACGGATTATATTAGGGCCCTATTATATTCCTACTATACCACTATTACAGGGTGGGGGCCCCTTCTAAGCGATACTATAATGCAGCTCGAACCTATAGACTCCTCGAACTTAGTAACGGCGCGATCTTGATGCCCGTCATAAACATGTCAAGAACGCCGGTAAAGGTTTTGGTTTTATGGTGAAGGAAGACACCTCTGACAAACAGCAGTGGCCTTGAGGCACCCCTTTGTCTTACATCCGCCCAAGACAAAACCTTCAAACCTCCTGGCATAAAAGGCTTTGAAAAGCAAGGACCCTGGCGAACCCTTGAAGGAACACTGCAGGCACTCTCAAAGGAACCTTGAAGCTCGGTACTTATAGGAACTTCGGCCTCTGAAAACCCCGTCACACACCCCCTCTAAGACCCCAACAAAATCCTATCAAGGCTTAGAGACCCCATTTTAACCCGACAGAGCCTCTAAGACCCCGATAAAACCCATAAAGCCGTAGAGCGGCTTGACTCCAAGGCTGGCGGTGTGGGCCCCTGACATGGACTCAGAGAGCCCAATACCCCTTAATTAAGGAACATAGCTTAAATCATAATACGAAGCCCCTTATAATTAAAGGTATATTGCTTAATTAAGGGGTATTGGGCTCTCTGGGGACTCTTAGGCCCTTTTGAGGGGGTTCTACTGTTGATGATAAAAGTCTTGCACTACCTTAAGGACCCGAAACTATGGGAAGTATGGTATCTTCCTTATAATGGGTGATGCAGGATTTTGTCCATCAGCCGTATGGACTCGTGGGCCCTTTTGAGGGGGTTCTAGGGACCCTTAAGAGTCTATATCGGGTACATAGTAGGCATTTAGAGATCCCAATATTAAGGGTCCATACTCGGGGCCCATGGTTTCAACCGTTGAACAGCCCAGAAGGCCCAGCAGCCCAGTTGCCAACACCACACCGCGAGGCCACAGATTGAGGATGACAGGTCGAATGAGGGCGTTTATAATGAGACGTGGGTTTGGGGGTTCAGGGTTTAGGGTTTCGGGTCAGGGCCTAGATGTTAGGGTCTATACTAGGAAAAAGGTACCCTTAGCACCTTTAGTGCTACTGGGGAACGTAGGTAGGGGTTTAGGGGTCGAGTCAGGGTTCCCCTACAAGTATTTCTGGTCTCCATAGTAGCTCTTTTTTTGTTTAACTCCATCTTTAGGATCCTATAAGGCACCCCAAGCAAAGACTTCTGGAACTAGATATGCTAACTCCAGAACCCCAAACCCTATTCAATTCTCTAATCGTCAAGGCCGATATAAAGGCCCCTTGGCCTGTCATGCTTGAGGACTTAAATATCGGTGTCCTAACCCAGAGACTCCACTATTTAGGGAAGATACCGTAAGTCATATTCGAGGTCCTACTATATGTTCAGGTATATACCTTAATTAACCTGGTCTTTGGAGTACCATACTTTAATGCTTTTTTGGGAACCTGTTACTTAAAGGGAACCATTATGGAATAAATGTCTATACTTTTTTTTGCCTGGTTACTTCAAAGCCCAGTAACGGATATGGGAGTCTCTGGGAGCAGTAGGGTCGGCAGCCTCTAACCTTCTTTCGGTATTATAACCCATGTTAGCCTTAAGGGATACTGGACTAGTACCCAGAGACTCCAATACTGTTGATGGACAAAATTCTGCATGACCCTAAGGACTCTGAACTATGGGAACTATGGTATATTCCTTATAATGGGTAATGCAGGATTTTGTCCATCAACCGGTTTAGGGTTTAGGGTTTAGGTATCTCTTAAATTAAGGAACATGCCCTAAAATATAGAAAGGGGTCTACTCAGGGCTTGGGGTGTCGCGTTCGCCTCAGGCCTAAGTGCGAATGCCTATACTGTACCTCAACCTACGAAACCCTACTTTTTTGTAGGTTCTTATTATAAACCTTAATATGGAGTTTATAGGGACCCTACAAAACAGTAGGTTTTGTTAGGTTAAGGTAGGGGCTTCAAAAGGGGCCTTAATCATCAGAAATATTTGGCCGTAATAGGGGTCGTAATAATGAAAAATGGCGGCCTTAATGACTTGGAGAGATTTTTGTGATATATGGGAGGTCATCAAAATTATGGTTCTTTTTGGGGTCCTTATTAAAATATGGCGCCTAATATTTGGGGTACCTAAAAAGGGGCCATAATTTTGACAACTACCCATGTCGCTCTACAAATATACTGTTTAAGTTCTGTTCTAGGAAGGTATTTGTCAGATCATCCGTCGTGCTGTTGCGTCGCTTCGCCCTGCTAGGCGCAGCCTCCAAAGCTGCGTTCGAGCCTCAGCCGTGCTTCCGACGTACAGTATGGGTTTAGGGCTCAGGGTTGATTATCTAGGCTCCAGCTGTTGGGGAGTTGCCTACACTCTACACCTCTCAACCATCCTAAACCCTGAAGCCGTTGACAGAGGTTGCAGGGGGCGCGCAGCAGTTCTTTGGAAGAACCTCCGCTACGAGGGATTTCTACGAAGCAGGTGGAAAAACAGGGGTATCAAAAAAACGCAGAGAAACCTCGCGCCAGTTCAAGACTTTCGCAGATTTACTACTACTATTCCTAGTACTAGTACTAGTACTATTACTTTTACTTATGACTATTCGTTCGAGTACTTGGTACGCGTCCATATTAGTGAGGTGACCCCCCAGCCTTAAAGCTCTGGACGCTAAAGCGCTAAACTCCTAAAGCCAATCATCCAGAAGTCTGTCTGCAAGAACATCCCATCAAATGCCGATAGAACTTTACGAAAACTCCGAATAACGTTTCAAAACAAAAAAGCCTCCCACATGCCCACGTGACGCGAAGGCCGTCTGCACGGGCTATGCACAAGGCAGGGCAGGGAGGGGAACCCTTGCAGGGACTCTTAAAGCAACGATTAGAAGAACCCTTATGGGGAAATAGGGTTGCCTTCTGATATAGAGCCTTGTTTCATTAGTGTACTTGCGCTCTTTCAGGTATTCGAACACCCATTGCAGTGAAGCATCTGTCACAAGCCCTTGTTGTGATTCCGTAGTCTCTGGTCATTACTAGCACCTAACAGCCGGAGGGTTCTGATGGAGATTTCTAGGTATTGTGATTAGTATCATAAAAGCTTCAACATTGTTAGTCATGTTTTGAACATTGTTATAGTCATTATTAAACTACTAGTACTACTACACATGGTGCTTTTTCGTTTCGAATACGTTTAGTATGTTCAACACTAGCAGTATTGCTGTTATTGCTTTTTGACCATTGAATCTTTATTCAAGCCTGTTGTTATTAACACTATTGTTATCACTCTTGCCATTACTATTATTATTGCTTCATTACTATGAGCATTACTACTTGGCACGTGCCAGTTTCAAAACAGAAGCTAGATACCGATTTGCATGGAAAACGACACCTAGTAAGGGACCTAATCCCAAAGCCCTAAACCCTAAACCCCTAAACCCTAAACCCTAAACCCTAAAACCCTAAACCTAAACCCAACAGCCTAAACCCTTGCAGGTTTCATCTTCGACATGCTCTTTGCCATCTGGCATTCGCCTGAGCGGTGGGCACGGGGATTTCGTGCAGAGCTGCAGTAGCTAGTTGAACTACACAGACTAGGTATTATTATGAGTGGTAGTCGTCGTAGTCCTAGTAGTAGCAGTAGTCGTCGTAGTGGGAGTGGTCGTAGTCGTAGTGGTCGTCGTCGTAGTATTCGAACTACACAGACTACTAGGTTTGCACTTTAAAGAGGGGCTCCGGGCAGAGCCAATAAGGGTTCTGCGAATCCCGGCGTTGCCCTGCAATGTCTAAAGCTCGCTCCGTGGATGCCTGCGTTTGCCACAGATCCGAAACCGAGGGGCCAGATGGGAGTTTCCTAAAATTAGGGGGACCTTATTTTGGGGTCTTTATAATAAGGATCCTACTATTTAGGGTACTATATTAGGGTCGCCTACTTTCGGAAACTCCCAGATTGAAGTCCCAAAAGCCCCCCTTGCAAGGTACTCTAGTGGGTGGTTGTCAAAATTATGGTCCCTTTTTGGGTACCCTAAATATAAGGTGTCGTATTATAATAAGGACCCAAAGAGGGACCCTATTTTTGACAACTACCCACGTGTTCAGGAGTCTTTGCAAATGAATTACAAAGCCCTCAGCCACACACCACCAAGCGCGGTAAGCAAAAGGGTGGGGGGTTCTCTTCGCGACATACACGGGTCCACATAGAGCGGTCCTAATCATAAAGGTCCTACTGTTCCGGGTCTACATACACCCTAAACGTTTCACCCTGATGAGGCAATTCCTTTGGTGGGCCATCGCCGCTGGCCCAGCGCAGCAAGTGGCAAGTGGAGTGTGGGCTTGCATGACGGATAGTTAGAATAGGTTATCCTGTGAACCTTTTGGGGTCGTATAACCGATCTATCACTCAAAGGTTAACCTCTAGTACCCCTCGGATACTTTAGGGCCGATGGGTTTACGTTTAGGGCTGTGGGTCTTACCCTACACCCTAAACCCTCAGCCCTAAACCCTAAATCCTAAACCCTAAACCCTTAGGTCTTGAGGTAAACCCCCAAAACCCTGCAGCTTGAACCTTCAACTGCAGGCCGCCCCAAGCCCTAAACGTACTAACATCCCAAAATCGAAGCTCAAAGGGGAAAAGGAGGGACCGTTCCTGGGGACCCCCTACCCTATAATGGGCTATAATAATGGGTATATAGTAGCTATATTAAGGGTATATACCTAGGGGTCCTTATTACGGGTCCCTCCTTTTACCCTTGGATAGGCTGCCCTTATCCAAGTCTTACAGAAACGGTGTACAAAGATTCACACACCTGTACTTCCATCAAGCACGCTCCTGCGAATCCCATCTTCTGGAAACCCATGGGCACCCTAAACCCTAAACCCATTGGGATTCACTTTGGGGTTCCTTATAATAAGAGTGGCGCCTCAGTTCGGGGATCCAAACAGGAATCCTAAATCAAAGAATGACCTAGACAGCATCCCTGGTAGAAGACCTCCTTAACCTACCAAACCCTACCTTTTCGTAGGCTCTAATTATCAACCTTCATATGGAGTTTGTAGGGACCCCTACAAACAAGTAGGTTTTCGTAGGCTAAGGTCCCTAAACCCTAACCCCTAAACCCTAAATCCTATACTGTAGATCAGGGACTTAGTAAGTAGGATTAGGCCTATAGGGTTCTATACAAGGGTTCCTTAAAGGGATCGATAAGGGTTCTAGAAGGAGGATCATGGGACTTAGTGAGTAGGGTTATAAGTAAAGTAATTACAGTTATAATTACTCATCACCCCCAAGAAGGTACTTATAACCCTACTTGCTAAGTCCCATGATCCTCCAAGTATAGTACCCCTAGCATCGAGCCCTTTACTTACCTTTGGTTAGTAGGGAATGGAAGAATGGTAGTAATAGTCGTTATAATTGTACCCCATTCCTCCATTCCCTACTAACCAAAGGTAAGTTTAGGGGGAACTGAAAGAAGCTGCTAGTACCCTGATTGTAGACCCGTTTCATGGCAACCCGATGCTGTACCAGTATCGTACCGTTACAGAGCCCTTTCATCGGGAACCTTGAAGGAACCCGAAAAGCCCCAAGAAAAGCCCACCCTAAACCCTAAACCATAAAGCCCTAAACCCTAAAGCACTAAACCCTTAAACCCTAAGCCCTTAAACCCTAAGCCCTTAAACCCTAAACCTTTAAACCCTAAAGCCTAAAACCTAAACCCAAAAAACGTCAAGCAAAGCTTGAAAGCCAGAGGCCCACCAGTTCGAGGGCTTCCTTTCCAGGAGACCCGAGCAGTGAAGCTACTCAGACTAGGTAATGGGTTTAGGGTTTAGGGGTTTAGGGTTTAGGGTAATATATTTGTGGGGGGGAGGGGGCGGGCGAGGGGGGGCAGAATAGGGTTCCTTTTGAGGGTTCCTTAAAGGGTGATCTTTAAGGTGGGGGTTTCCGAGAATAAGGGGTACGGTATATTCGGGTCCGTATAATGTGGATCCTACTGTATTTAGGGTTTAGGGCTTTTTAAACCAGGTAATATAGGGGCCAGGGTTTTGGGCTCCTTTAAAAGGGTCCTTAAGGGATCTATAGTAGGGTTCTTCTATAGTATAGGGCCTAAATAATTAGAAAAGGGTTCCTCTTAAAGGGGTCTATAAGGGCTGCTATAAGGGATCTATCAGGATACTGTAGTATAGGGGCCTTCATAATTAGGGGTTTTGGGGTCCATCATAGTATGGTTAGAATAAAGACCCCCCCCCCCCATTTGGGAAAACTTTGATCCCCTATTGTTTCGCACAGAGCCCTAACTATACATCATTTTGGGGACCTAGTAAAGCTTCAATTTCGAATGTGGTCCTGATGAGGGGTTTAAGGATCAGGGTGTAGGGTTTAGGCTGCTCTGAGGGTGAAACTCAAACGGAGCCCTAATACGTTTTGAATTTATGTGTTACTGCATAAGCAAAGAGGCACCGTGCTTGCGTAAAAGCAGTGCTGTGTAAGTTTGAGCATCATGCTAATGCATATCTTCAATCAGGGGTTCCTTGTGTTCCCGCAAATGGGATAGCGTCTACGTCTTGCCTCTTGCTTTCTACAGGCGGCCCGGTTGCCTGCTTCTGGGTTCAGATTGCCAGCAGGCTAGCTTTGAACAGGGATCATTCTGGACTGCCAAACAGAATTTTTCCAGTTTCTGATGCCAAACGATGGCTTTCAAATCGGAGGCTCGTGGCACCGTTCCTCCCCGTTCAACAGCAATGCGTTGTGTTGTGTTCAATTTTTCCCGCACACCCAAGTATCTGTGTCGACTGTACTGCCAAGTCTCAGCGAAAGCGAGGTTTTCGCACGACTAAACTAGACGGGCATCACGGTTGTTGTGTAATCGACGCGAAGCAAATACAAGATGATTAAATGTGACTGCACAGCGCTTGCACGAAGCGGGCCAAGCTCGCATCATGTCAAGTATATACACCTACTTCCATGTGTGCACAATTGGACATGGGTATATCCTTCTGCATCTTGCAAGAAGTGCTCAACTCAACAGACAGGTGACCTATTGAATGTGTGGACATATGCGCAAAGTTGCTAAATGACCCGCCCCTCAATAAACTGCGGTTACTTTTGAAATGATCCTAAGCTTGAGGCTTGCCCTATTCACTTTGCTCTCCATGCCCCAGTGTAACTGCAATGCAAAAATCCCTCACAGCGTGTGAAGGCGTTCAGACTGCCTATTCTTGACAAGCCCAAGCTTATAAAAGCACACCTAAGCCTTCAATGAAAGGAACCTGACTTTCAGAACCCTAAACCCTAAAACCCTAAGTGCTTTGAACTCCCGCGGCCACCAGGAGTTCACAAGGTGAACAGCATGCTCCGATCTCGGCAAAGAACATCCAATTCAGCCTTGTCCTTTTTCATGGTTCCCCCAAAAGAATAAACAGACCGGCTAGTAGACCTTCTTGAATAATTCCTACTAAGGGATATAGGTATAGGGCTCTGTCTATTATTTCTAAAAGGACAAGGGTGATCCAATTGCTTTTGGCTTGTTCGAAGTCCCCGTGCTGCATCCCTGTATCTTGTTTCGCTGGGTGGCCTGAGGAACTCAATACGAGGAAAAAGGATATCGTCGCTTTAAAACAAGGTCGCCTATACTGGAGTCTTCATACTTAAGCAAAATACTGCAGCTTGAAACTTGGTCACACAGACCGGTGCTTATCTCAAAACGAGCACCCAGTCGTGGGATCTGCTATGATCTCGTGCCTATGCTGGGCTCTGGGTGTGCGACTCACCCCTACGACTTAACCCCCACCAAGACAAGCTCAAAGCCCAAAGCCAGGGACGTAAATGCACATACGGGTGGTTGT